GAAAACAGTTTTTTGTTCTGCTCCTGGTTGTAGTAATGGACTTTGACTCTTTGGTATAGAATCATCCATGAACAGTAAAACATAGAGAAAGTTCTTGTTTGTGTTGAATCTGAAGGCTCATTATTGCTATTACAAAAATCCAATGTTAGAACCCTTACTGACCACTTTATGTCCTCACAACCTTACAGCCCATTTTAATGTTACCCTCCTAAGTTTTCTAGCACAAATGGTCTCTCTTAGTTTAATTTTCCAATGAAAGCTTTAATGGAGTTCATATTTCACCCATAAATGTTGCAAGACATACAATAACATTATTATTATATTTTAAAAGTATTATTTGAACCCTCTGTCATGCTAAGTATTCTCATATCAAGTATGGTAATATGAGAATGAAGAAAATGACTATCATTGTTGTTGAATAATTATGAACAATAAAATTTTCCAGCTAGATTCTTTAATAAGTCTTGCAGATCCACCCCCAGTAATTTTTTTCCTCTAGTTAGAAAACAGTGTAATCTCAAAATTGTATGTTTTCTTATTGTATACATTACTGATATGTTACTCTTTACATATGGAACATAGTGTAATGGATTTGATCAATGTGTTGCAGGCAACAGTTCTGTAAACACAGCCCAACACGCAACAATAAAGGAAGCTATGTTTTCTGTAGATCCAACCAATGCACCAATAGACTGGATGGATAGCGATCACATGATATGTGTTTACTGTAGGTCCATGTCTGTTCCACGGCTATATAAGTAAGAGTGACAGAATTTGTTCAAGGCAATTATGAGTACTGGTAGCGGAACAAGCAAGAAAGCCGTCAGCTCTAGGATTACAGAAGAGAACAAGAAGTCAGCCTGTGAAGATTTAACATGTGATTTGAAGACTTTATGTGTGCTGTAGTGCAGTGGTATCGGGAGTGTGTGATTTAGGGAGATTTTAATACTTCCTGTGTTATAAAGCCGTGAAGACTAGTGAAGATAGACTGAAGAGAGTAGTGTGGAGTGCTTTGTAGTGTGAAAAGCAGTAACAGTGTTATAATTATTTGTAGTTATGACCAGTAAGTATCCAATAAATCGAATTACCAATTCAAACCCCATCTTCAGTCACTGTGAGACGTGAAAATAGTGATTTTTCCATGGACCACTCCATGTCACTGGTGCATGAATTAATTCTCAGACATGACATAGTGACGGCATGATGCTTCTCAGTAAAGTTCATGATTGTGGGATAAACTTTAATGACACCACAGCGATCAATTTACTCGATATTATCAATCATCGTAATTTTTTATCTGAATGATGGGTAATGTTCAGAAAATTGATTACTATATTAAGAGACCATTATCACAAATTGTTGCATCTTATTTAAAGTTACCAGTTTATATCATATTACTTGGATAATTCTTTCTTATAACTCTGGAGGACCTTTTATGTGTACATTTCTGAATTCTAACATACTTACTTTACTAACAGCTATAGACATACAAAATCTTATTTTTGTCTTTTTGATTCAGCCTCATAAAAATTGAAATGAGGGTTAACTCTGTTTACTAACCACATTGGCAATTGTTTCAGTCAGTGTAACTGTAGCGGATTAGGTATCATTTCCCTGTCAGACAGCCTACTGAATGTCACTGAGAATGGTTATAATACAAAAAAAGAAAATGGGAACCCATATTAGTGATGATAGGGATGTTTTGGTACTGGTCTGATATCATGTGAAACGTCTACAGATTAGCTTCCAATATTTTGAGGTTAGAAATTCTGGAGGAAAGGTCAAGATATTCCAAGTAAATATTGCGATATTTCAGACTTATTTATCACAAGTTCACGGTTGTCAACAGCCAACTAAATACCAGTCAAATTCTGGAATGGAACATATTTGCTCACTGTTACCTACATCCCTAATATCAGACTTAACTAGAGTAGCAGTAAATGATCTTTGACATCATTAAAAGTGAAGAAGTGTCTTGCAGGTACCCCGAAATTTTGTACGATGGAGTGAACTGCCAATGAAAATGAAATATAAATAGTTCTCCTCAGTATTTTAAAGCTACTGGTGAGTTTTTCACAATTACTTCTTATTCTATTTAAAATCAGTTTATTGTTCATTGTATGTTACTGACATAGGGACCTAAAGCACTGACTTTTTTGTCATAGACCTCCTCTCAGAGCCCGAATGGGTCCAGTGAAGATTTTTCCACATTCCTTCCCCTTCCCCCACTTCCAGCAAAGTAAAACAGTGAATGTGAGGAATACTGGATTCCCTTCTTAATATCCACTTCACAAGTGTCCACATACAGTTCATTGATGCCCACACCCCAGAAACTAATTCTACTATCACCAAGGCAGGCAAAGGCCAGGAAGGTCAAACAGACCAGTGTTTCTCAAACTTTCATATTGTCCCATCTGTCCTGCCAAAGAATTGGAATCCCTCCATAGTAATAATGAACCTTCTGTCTATCAAAGGAGGATATTATTACAATTACATATACTTTAGTATTATATTAACCATTAAGTTAATGGAAATCCTTATTTTTGAAACATCACTTCCCACTTCTCCCATTGTCTACACAGAGGGACACAACCCACCAACTGATAAACACTGGAACAGACCATAACTGGAAGCATTGATCATAACACATTTCTGATGCCGTATAATTAATAATCTTGTGTTTTCTATTGCCAAGGTAGGCAGAAGCCAGGAAGTTCAAATTGACCATAACAGAAATTAACCTTAACAACATATTCCCATTGTAGCACAATAACTAATTTTCTATACATTGTATATAGTGCACTACCACCTGCTTTATTTTGGTGTGTTGTGTTACAGTGATAATAATTATCATCATGAAAGAAGGAAGGCCAAATTCAGTTCATCTTTATAATATGCAATATATTTCACATTGTGAATTTCATATTATAGTACTGGTTGTTCAGTTACTGAATCATAAGTGTATAAACAAAGTAGGACATGCAATTATTTATACAAAATGATTGCTTTTTGGAATGGTTCATGTGTAAAAAAACATTTTAAAACTTACATGCAGTTTTAATTACATTATATTTCTTATATTACAGTATAATTACCATAAGAAACAATTTTATAAACTATAAATGAATGTTACATAAAATTATAATGTGGAACGTTAGTATAAATAGTTGACAGATTGGTCTAGATATATAGTACCTTGACAAGCTACATTACATTCCGAAACTTATTACACTTCACAGCTGGACTACAAATCTGAAAGCACATTACTCCTTTCCAGCCTGCAAAAAATATCTACTATCCTTTAAAAATACATCTACATGCCAACATGTGCATTCAATTAAAATTCTGTGCCATAACAGAAACTTACAAAACCAGTCTAGCATTGATTTTTATTTAACTGTACACACTTTTATTAATTCACTTTCTGTTACAAGAAACCACAACATCCAGTTCAGAATAAATGTCTTTGGTACGTCTAATTTTGTCTTTACTAAAATTTTGTTAATACTTGGCTGGAATTTGTACAGACTTCTGTCTTACAATAACATTATAATTACCTAGCTGTTAAGATAATTACCTACAAGACTATCACTAATTTAATTTCTGATGACTGGCCATATTTGAGAGCATGATTTAAGCAATCACAATTCTTGTTAAACAGATTTGTAGAATCCAGGTACTGTTCTCTATCTAGTTCTTCTGTCTAAAAATGTTTCTTCATATTGAAAGGATATTACATATTCACCTTCATGAGCAAAACCTCTAAGACAAATTCAGTTAGGAGCATACTTGCTTCCAAGATAGGTAGATGCAATTAAAACAAGAGGCATGATCTTTCCCATAGGTCTCCAAATTTATGCCACATAAGGCAAATTCCATAGACTAATTATTAGAAGATGCCTGGAAACTTTAATATGATGGCATCCACATTTCACTTAAAGAAACCCTTTACTCATTGCAGCAGCTAAAAGTCATGAATTTGCACTCTGAAATTTTTAATTTGATAACTTGATCATGCTTCTTGTTTAAAAGTTCTACCTTGGTCACTGAATACAAGCTTAATAAAAAGTACTCTTTTAACCACAATACTGTTTCAAAACATAAATATCAGTCAAAACTTTACTTGGTACTTGTATCATTGCTGTAGTCTTAAAAGGATTCCTTCAACATCGATATTCTCAATAAAATATATTCATTGTTCATATCACAACTCAGTTATATCCTGAGTATGCAGTTATAAATTACTGTAAAGTACTAGTATACCATTCTTTTCCTAATTGGAGGTCTTGCAAAGCAAATGGATGTAGAAAACTTTAGAAGCAATTAACACAGAAATGTATCAGAATGACTGTTGTTCTTCCTCACACACTTTCAGTCATAAACTTAATTTTTTTATTGAGTTTGGCCAGCTGCCAGGATATAGTTGAAGACCCAGCTGAGGACCTAATCATGCCAGATATTCAGGCCTGAGGACATCAGAGGAGTATTAGTTAACTACTGTGCCATGAAGGCATATGTGGGGAGTGGAGGCATAGATCATTCTTTACCTCAGCACTAGATGGAGGTTAGTGGTCAGCTTCATGCCCCGGCTTCTTTACCCCCAGGGATACAGCCTCCCAGTATGCACTGGAGAGGAGGCTGAGTGGGCCACAGAGCCTGTCTGGACATTATTGAGAAAAGAGATATCTCTTGCCCCTGCTGGGAATCAAAACCTGGTCGTCCTGCCTGTAGCCTAGTCGCTATACTGGGTGAGTGAACGAGGAGGGCATTTTCTTTACTCCCTTTAATCCACGTTCTTCATTCAGAAATATTTGATAATTAGTCTTATTTTACACTTACTTTTCCATTTATTTTTGTCTTCCAGTCGAACTGTGGACTATGGCAGATCGAACTACCCAGATTCTAAATTTCTACAGTTACCTCCTTTATGAATCTCACTAACCTTACAGCAACAACACCGTTTTGTGTAACTTACTTCTTGTGAGAGTTCATAGCTCTTAACACATTGCTTTGTTAACACAACTGCTTGGACTAGTAATTATTTATACACAACAAATCATGTGGAGATAATAGTAATACACATTTAAAAGTCTTTTAAGTATTGCTTTGCAAACTGTCTAAAAGTGACAATAACTCACTGATTAAGAATATAAGAAGCTTAAAAGAATTAATTTATGAAATGATATACAAAAACAAAGTTTTCACATATATTCTTGCGATGCAGGATATGAATTAGAAAGGAAGTGTTTTTATGTTTTGTGGGATATTATTCTTTACAATCAAAGATAACACGCATGATGTAAAAGAGAAGGAAAAAAATACTGATAACAGAGGCACATTTGCCGCATAGTTTATATTACTCATACTACCTACAGTATGAAAATTTGAACGTAGTATTGGAAGCAGTAACTTACATTAAAAACTAAAACTGAAATAGCATTCACATGTATAACTCTCAGAACTACTTTGGTTTGTGAACTATTGCTTTTGAAGTTTACATAACAGATCGACTCTCTGTTTTCTTTGTTGCAATTTCATTACTCCATTGCCACCTCCAAGTTTCATACCCCTGTCTGCAAATGAAGCCAATATCGAAGACCATGCATCATACAGTCTTATAATTTCATAATCTTCACAAAGTCCTGAGAGACAAAAACCGTACCTCTGCACAGGTGCTAACTTCTTTTCCAGAAACTGTAAGTGTAGCAAATGTTCCAAAACTGCTATCACTTCTCTCATAAATACTAACTGTTTCTATATATGGTGAACACCGGTCTCATTTCTGATTGTTGTCACTCTCTGAGATAGCCGGATCCTGCTCCAGCTTTGTAGCACTGTTGGTAGTGGCAGCAGTGGCGATTGTAGTGCTGGTGACTGAGTCCAGCTTCAGTCTCTTGCTGCTGTTATCTTCATTTTCATCCTCATTTCTTGACTTCCGTTTTGACCTTGAGGTTAGTTCTCGGACTGCCTGATTCTCTGGGTTGTTCAGAACAGATCTAAAGGCCCAGAAAACAAACCATAGACTCATTTACAAAACTGTACATTACATGGAAATCAAAGAAGCAGTTCTTGAGAGTTCTGAGGTTTTGTTCTGTGTAAGTGTAAGCACAGTAACTTGGCATTTATAGCAATGAATTTATATGAAACAATTAGAAGAATACAATTATGATACATTAAAATCTCAAGAAAACTAAACAAAATAACTACTCGTATGTTGCTACTCATCCTTAGTAGAGAGCATTTTCAAACAAATGTACCCATACAAAACATGAAGAATAATTAAGGATGGGACTGTTCTTAGAATTTAAGGTGTAGGCCAAAAGTTTCAGTACTTTTAAACAAATAGAATTTGACTGGTTTGCCATAAAATTCAGCTCAAAGTGCTTGTTGTTATCAGTGTCTTGTGTGTATTTATAGATAGCCCACATGTCTGGACTCTCATCCTTGGCCACATACAGACCCTGATCAAGGGCAGGAAGATTAAAACATATGCAGAAGGAGCACAAAAGTTTAAATCAATCAATTTAAAACTGTAACTTTTATTTAATTTGTATCAATATCTGTCTTAAACTATATAAAACTTCCATTTTTTTTTCAATATACATTGTTCCGAGGACAGAGCAGTTAGAAAATTATTCGTTATGGGCAACATGACTGCATGCAACTGACTCTGGGATCCATCATGTGTAATGGTTATGGGGAGGGGGAATTTTTCTCACTGATAAAGTGGCTAAAGCGTGATGCTAGCCACTCACTTCCATCTAGTTCTGAGGTTTAAAATGTGCATAGCTCTACATGAGTGCCCCCGATACGTCTTTGGCATTATTTTCCAGATATTCAAAAAACTGCACACCTGTTCAAGACCTTAAGCCAGGGCTCATGCTTCACTAAGTAAAATTAGATAATCCAACCTGACGAACGCCCTGGTCTCGGCCTGCAGGGCAGCTAGGCGGTGTTGCAGCTGTTGATTCCTCCTCACGAGGTTCACAGTCCTCACTGTGATGTCCAACAGGCCTTCACGCTTCCGCAACAGCAGAAGTCGTTGGCACTGCTGTTGCTGGTGCTCCAAAATCTCTTCCCTGCACCACTTCTCCTGCTTGTCGGATGGAGAACTGCAGTCCTGACTGCCCTCACTTCCATATTCGGGATTACTGCTTCTAGTGTCAATGCAACTGCTACTGATACTGTTAGCGGAAATGCTCGCCTCCTCTTCCCCCCGTGATGTGGCTTGTTGCTGCAGATCATCAGCAGTCAGTCCCATTTGTGGAGACTGCAGCCAGACACTGCCTCGAGTCCGTCGGTCCTGAAACAGAATGGATGGCTATTGTACTCAACATATATTTCAACATGCTTTCCATGTTGCAAAACTCATTACCATTCATGTTATTACATTTCAGATATGAATCTAATGCTCCATAGCTTATCACACTAAACTCATGGCGTAGTTACAAAATAACATTTCATTAAATGGGTACCACATTCAAAAATATTGCAAAAAAAGCGTTTTAGATAGTAATGACGTGTATATTTTACAGATCGAAGTTGGTTCTGAGTATCCTGACGGGTTTCTTTATTGCTTTCCATGAAAATTTCGAAATAATGCCTCAAAGAAGGCTATGACCTCTTCTTTCAACACCCTTTCCACTTCTGTATTCGCTGCCATCCAATTATTCAGCGTTGTGTAGTCTGAGTTACTCACGTCATTAAATTAGCTACAAATAAATAAACAAATACATCAGTGTTATGTATCAGTGCTTTGGTACAAGTTATGCTGGAGCTCGATTTCAGCCTCGTGTAAAATACTGGACCAGTATGGGCCAAAATTAATCTTATACGATTTGAGGTTCTCACAGCGGTGGTTGTAAAGAATATTATCTTCTGCTACGTAAGGCCGTGTAGTCCATTGAAAGTCAACTGACGTTTCGGAGGAACATATCATCTCCATCTTCTGGGTCGAATAAGCCAAGAAAGATATGAGCGTGAAAGAGGGTGACAAGCAGAGTAGCCACCTTCTTTCACATTGGTATCTTGCTCGGCTTACTCGAAGCTGAAGATGGAGGCGGTATGTTCCTCCGAAACGTCGGTTCACTTTCAACGGACTACACGGCGTTATATCCCAAAAGAGAGTAACTCTTCAAAATTAAACTTACGCGGTTATTTTAGTGTACATCTCTCATCAAATTGCATAATCATTTGTTAAGTACTTTTGTAGTCGAAGCATACGGAGAAGACATTACCTGCTCAGCTAGTCAGTATCATCCACCTCTAAGGCTAGAAACACACACAGCGACATCGGTCGTACGGAAAAATATCATACGATTTTTTTGCCGTACGACCTCCTTTTCACACTAGAGCGACAAAATACATTTCTTTGCTCTCCGACTGTCGTGCGGTAGATGTCGCATGTTGTCACGTATGACAGCTAAGACTACACTTTATATTCTACTATTTGATGCGACATTAACCGTACGGACGTCGTACGACCGATATTTCGTTACTGCCTTCACAAGAGCCCACCACTGGCTCCTATCCTGAGTCAGATGAATTCATTGCTTTGCATTTGAATCCTTGCTGTTTTATTACCCTTGACAATATCCCTCAAAATACAACATACTGTGACATGAAGCCTGAAAGCCGGAATAGTGGAGCCAGAGCAGACGTCCATTGCTACGCAACAGCTCGGTAAACGCATTCCCGTTGCAAGGAATAGGCAAGCAACAATATAAGGACTGTCGTTTCTATGCAACAGCGAGGTAAACACCTCTGTAACAAGAGAGGATTTTAAAAAATGTTTTCTATGTGGTTCGTGTCGAGCAGGACAGTTTGAACTAACGAGCTAGTTCTTGTCAGATAGAATTGAGAGAGTCATGACTCGAAGTTTACTGAGAAGAGATGGCAAGAAAGGAATTAGGCTGTTAAAAGAAGACTTCATGTGTGCTGCAGTGACAGTGAGACTGTTGTACGTGTAATTCCGTTGGAAGGATACGACTAGTAAAGACTGAAAACACTAGTCTGTGTGCGACGGTGAAATGTAAAGTATGTAGATCAGCGATAGCGCTGTAATTAATTGTCGTTCCGAGTGGTGCGTATAAGCGATCAATAAATCCAATCATCCAATCCATACCCCTTAGCAGTCACCCCCCACACATACACGTGACAGCATCATACGCAGTTCATCGGCCCGATACAAAGGCTAATATACAGTCTATGCCTATGCTTATCGATTGTACTGCACAGCAAACAACGTAAATCAGTTACGGTCTTACGAAATGCGACTAAATCCACAAGATTTCCATAAACGCATTAGCCCCTAAAATAATATTTGTATCCTTGAAAGATGAAGACGCATATTAATGCAAACTGGTTTAGTCGCTGGCTTCCCATCGCGACGGCCCGGGTTCAAACCCAGGTCTGGTCAAGTGGGATTTGTGGTGGACGAAGTGGCGCTTGGGGTAGGTTTTCTCCGAGTACTTCGGTTTCCCCTGCCAATCTTCATTCCACCAAATTCTTCATCATCATAATCACCCGGGGAAGGTAACAAATAGGCCAATCAGTGGCCGCTGTGCAGAGTGGACCCAACTGGACCCCCCCCCACTATGCGAATAATACAAATTGGTCAAAGTTGATCCTCAGTTTTCACACCTTTTGCAGGATTTGAATCCAGCACTGATTTTACGACTATTTTCGGTAACGAAGTAAGATATTAGATAACGCTTCTGTGACGAATTTAAGAATATGTTGTTACATGTATACCCATTGCTAGGCAACGGGGTGGTAAGCATGTTCCTGCAGAAGCAAACACACGGAACAACAGGACGTCTATTGCTAGGAAACGATTCTGTAAACACGTATCCTTAACAACAGAAGACTGTTTTCCGTGAGGTCCGTGCAGAGGAGTTACCTTGAAGGCAATCGGCGCTACATGTTCAGTTTTCGGTAGGAGATAGCCACAGGAAGTTAGTAGTTGAAAAATTAGAAGTCGAGCTGTGAAGACTTAGGTGATTAGACGATTCAGTCCCAGTGAGGCTGTTTTAATTCCGTTACCAGGAGGCGACTAGTGAAGACTGAGAATCTTAGTGCGTGTGCAACGGTGAACAAAAAGTGTGTAAATCAGCGACAGCGCTGTATTAATTGTGATTAAGAGAACTTGTAACGGAAGTGCCAATAAATCCAATCGTCCGATCCAGAACCCGTCACTTTCGTCACGCGTACCCCTTTACACATGGCAATATTTAATACAGTCAAATGAGCGGGGTGGCTCAAGCAGTAGCACTTCTGACTCGAATCTCGGCCAGGGCAGCGACTATTCTGACAAGATTTTCGCGGTTTTCCTCAGGTCTCAAGTATCTCAACCTAGGCCAGGACCGCTTCCTTACATGACCTTTCCTAGTTATTACCTGTCGCTCTGCTTTCCCCCTGGGCTACAACCTTAACGTGGCAGCGAGGTTTGCGTGCCCTGCTCGCCTGGAGAGCTACACCAGCGGCGTGTACACACCTGTAGGGTCACCCATGCTAGGCAGGTCGAAGGGTAGGAACTCTGGTCCTCCATGTTGAGGGTTGGGCGTGAGGCTACAACCTCACCTCGGAAACAATGTGTTTCAGAAACCTGACGATGGATGTCGGATGAGAGAACACAGAACATCTGTCGTAAAGGGGGCCGTAGAACCAAAGAGTAATTATCCTGCCATTCAGAGTTATACAGTCCGAGCTACTGACAGTGTCATTAAATAAACAACAAACACGTAAGACCCCTAAAGGTGACCTGAGAGGTCAAATATGTCTGGCTTAAAAACACTGTTGGCCTATGGTATGTATTTTGGCAGTCATTACATAGTGAATGCCAGATTAATCCAGTTCACATTCTTACACGTTATTTCTAGAAGATGGATTTTAATATTACGCTTTCACTTAAAGCTATGTCTCTCCAAGTGGTTCCTTTCTTTCAGGCTTATACATTTCTCATCTTCCCCGCGCATTCTGCATGCACCGCCAATCTCAACCTCTTTTATTTGATACCCGGCGAAGAATAAGAAAATTATGGAGAACCCCATTATGCAGTTTTATTAAGCTTGTCCTTGCTTCCACTCTCAGATTTCACATATTCTCCTCAGCGCCCTGCTATACCCGCAACCTGTGTAGTGTTCCTAAGGCACTGCCAAACCAACGGGTGCGTGTAGTTGCGACCCTGCTTTAATATTCACTCTTTTAAGTTACACTGCAGTTAACTTAAGTAAAGTATATTAAGAAATCCAGGGAAGTTCGATCAAGTGAGTGAGTACGAAATGCACGTCTGTAGTTCGATTTCCGACAGTGTCAGAACTAGTCCTAGAGCCCATCCAAGCTCCTAGCCAGATGGTACCGAGTTTTCTTTCGCCGGCGATAAAGCGGCCGAGGCGTCAAGCTGATCACTAACTTCACCTAGAGCCAAGGCTAAGGCGGACCATACACGTAAGAGTCTGGCTCGCGAGTCCGGCTCGGCGAGGAGGATTAATTTCACCACAAACGAATGAGCTGACTCCCAACTTTGCGACCCACACACGGACGAGTTTCGCTCATTGGAACCGGAGCCGAATCAGACTCGCGAGCCAGACTCGTATGTGTATGGGCCTCCTAAGAATTGCGTGGATCTATGCATATCTCAGTTCCCCTATTCATGGAGAAGTGTTAAGCACAAAGCTATTTTAACATTAAAATTTAACTGGCATTCCTATGTGAGAGGTTTCTTTCCCACCCTTCTGGAATTCTTTGCTTTCTGCGCATGCTCAGTGAACGGATGTAGCCTGCGCACTGAACTGCTTATTTCATAATAATGATATTGTGACATGACGGCTGAAAGCCGGAATTGTGGAGCCGTAGCAGACGTCAATTGCTGAGCAACGGCTCGGTAATGTTTCCGCGGCAGCTAATATTAACAAAGACTAGTTTCCAACATAAGATTTCCGAGACAACTCATTCATGAAGAACAGTAGCGGAACCCCTGGAGGCGGTGTTTTTATTTTGGGCCGCATGGGAGTTAGTGACTTTGACTTTGAATCAAAGCAGTGTGAGATAAGTGGGAGACTAGTTGAAGACTCTTCATAGAGATTCGTCCGACAGACGTTGTTCAGGAGTTCAATGTGTGAGCTGTTACAAGTGACTGTAATTGTGAAAAACTGCCAGTAAACCCAGAACCCATTATTATTCGTCAAGCCAACCTCTTACACGTGACAATATGCAATATTTTTCTCATATGAAAAGAAATTTCTGTTGCACCACTGGATGTGCGTGAATTTCAGTATGTCGGTATGTCGAAACAACCGACAGGTTACGCCATAAGAAATGTTTGGTTTCTTCGTATTCTTATCGTCAACAAAGAGCGAGCTACGTGCATTCCTACATCTCGTAATGACTTGCTACTTCGGTATTTTACGTTAGCGAGCGAATTGCTTTGTATGACTTGGCTTGCAGTTCCAGGAAAATGGAGTCTGCAGACATACGCGAGCGGTTCCCAAATAGCCTGTATGTAAACACCTGTTATTTTCGGACAGAAATAACAGCCACTAGTCCAGAATTGCGCTTCTAATGAGATTTTGCTTATCCATTCTTTCTCATAATTGTGTCTATATATCCACCTGTTCTCGACCCCGACACTAGTGGAGGTGAGTGGTCAGCTTCACGCCCTGGCCGCTTTACCCTCGGGGAAAGAGCCCCTGGTACCCACTGGATAGGCAGATGGGCCCAGAACCGGTCTGGACGACGTAGAAAGGAGAAAATCTTGCCCTTACCGGGACTCAAACTCCAACCCCTCGGCCGTCCAGCCCGCATCCAGTGGCTCTACCGACTATATATGAGGCGTCGGAGTTCGTGTCCCGGTAAGGGCAATATTTTATCCTCTCTACGTCGTCCAAATCGGTTCTGGGACCCATCCTGCCTATCCAGTGGGTACCAGGGGCTCTTTCCACGAGGGTAAAGCGGCCAGGGCGTGAAGCTGACCACTCACCTCCAACTAGTGCCGAGGTCAAGAATGGGTGGATTTATACATTCACCCTCCCATACGTCTTCATAGCGTAGTGCTTAATCAGTTAAGCATAGGGACAACTTTACCAACTGCAGTAATGATGGGACAAAATTAAGAAATAGGGACAGCTTTGTAGACGTTTGAGAACAGGGGCTGAGGAGAATATTTGGACCGAAGAGCGATGAAGTGACAGGGAGTTGGAGAAAACTGCATAATGAGGAGCTTCATAACTTGTACTCTTCTCCAAGTATAATTAGATTGACGAAGTCAAGGAGGATGAGATGGGTAGGGCATGTTGCACGAATGGGGCTAAGAGGAATGCATATAAGATTCTGGTGGGAAAGCCAAAATGAAATGGACCATTAGGAAGACCAAAACGTAATTGGTGGATAATATTAAACTGGATCTTAGCGGCCTCCGTAGTCTAGAGGTAACGTTCCCACCTCATGACTCGTGGTACGCGGGTTCAAACCCGGCGGAGGTCGTGGAATTTTTAAGGGCGGAAAAATTCAGGGAACAAGTCCTCCGGGAGGGACTTTAAGCCGTGGGTCCCGTGTCGTAGCTTTACGGCACGTAAAAGAACCTCATATCTCCAAAGGAGGTCACTGAGCCAAATTCAAGGATATTTCCCGCCCAACAGTAGTCTCTAACGCCTCTGATGGGGGAAGCATTATAGATACCGCTAAGCCAGTAGAGGCCGAACTCGCTGGCTCGGTCGGGAATATCATAGGGGGAAGCACAGTGGACCAATACTGGTCTAAGTGCATGGGGAAACCCACCCTCTCCAATAACTAACTAAACTGGATCTTAGAGAAATAGGAACCGGTTTGACCTAGCTCAGGATAGGGACCAGTGGATGGCTCTTGTGAACACGGTAATGAATCTTCAGGTTCCATGAAATGGTGGGAAATTCTTGTGTGGCTAAGCGGCTGATTGGCTCTCAAGGACTGGGCTCAATGGTGTTAGTTTGTAAGCAGATGATCACATACTACATACATTTACATATCTGAGCAGTTAAGTGTCAGTACATTGTACGATCATAAGAGGAGATTGAAGAGTTTGTAATAAATTACAGTAGACCAAATGGAGCATTAAAAATGAATTTGGAAAACAAATGTGAAATGACAAAGCTGAGAATTTGTAAGTGGTTACTGCACCAACACTATTATATGGCAAAGAGTTATGGACTCAGGGTAAAGCATACGTGGCACAAATATGATTCCTAAGATCATTAAATGGAGTAACAAGCAGAGACAACTTTCAACAATGTGAGGGAAGTAGTACGATGCACGAGACTAGTGCTGTCGGAAGGAACGTGTTACCCAGAGCAACTGAACAAGTGTACACACCGAGGACAGAGAGACGTGGGACCAATAGCGTGCTTCGCTTCGGGAGGGGAAATACAGTAGCTGAACCTTGCGAAGATGACGACTAATCCCGCAAAATATTTGATTCATCTAGACATTTCGTCTGACTCCTACCCTTTGACCTGTCTGGCATGGATGACGCTACCAGGAGCTTACACTCCCGCCAGCATATTTATCGAAACTGACCGCCTCTGTGGTCTAGTGGTCAGACTTCCTGGCTACAGATCCAGACGTCCGGGTTCGATTCCCGGCGCTACCGGATTTTCTGAGAAGCAGTGGGTCTGGAACGGAGTCCACTCAGCCTCGCGAGGATAACTGTGGAGCTATTTCAAGGAAACAGCGGCTCCGGTCTAGAAAACCGAGATTAACGGCCGTGGGGATCCGTTGCGCTGACCACGTGACACGCTCTATTCGCAAAAGTTGGCACTAACTTCGCCGACAAGCGGCCTACAGGCCACGGAATTTGTTGCAGTATCCAGTCCTACCGCTCTGGGATAATGAGCTTCAGATACTGAAAACATTTCTCTTCAGTCTTGTCATACAGTCCATCATAAGCCGTTACGTTAGTGTCGGTTCATGTCGTAAATAACCGCAGAATACAATGGCTGCCTAGGTGATTAGTTACAGCGTTACATGCGTCACCAGTGAAATAAACCCTTCAGTGATACAAGCGGTGATGGCTAATGAGCCATCTGGTTCCGTTGGTGGTGTGACTTTGCGGGGAATCTTAACACCGTACGTACACAAATTCATTACGAACTGCGTAAAGCACAAGAATGTTCACAGCAACCGTTTCGCATGGCGGTTCATCTGAAGTTTAACCAATCATCAGCGATTTCTGATTGAACTTAACACGGTGTGAACGAGTAAACAAACCGTTTTATTGCGAATTTTCCATTCTCCAAACTTTGAAATTTAAAATAAAAATGTCTCTAATTTTAAAAAGGACGAAATGCAAATAAACTCGAGGTATTCGAAAAGATAACTGTAAGCTTATTAATATACTGACGTGTTATATAATGGTAAAAAAGGTAAAGCTGTTCTTGTGCTTAACTAATTAAGCACCACGGCATGAAGACGTATTGTGGAGTAATTGTATAGATCCACATTTTCCTGACCGCGCCACTGGTTGGAGGTCAGCTTTATGCCCCTGCCGCTTTACCCCCGAGGAAAGAGCCCCCGGTACCCTTTGTATAGAAGGCTGGGTGGGTTCCAGACCAATCTGTACGACGTTAAGGAGAAAAAATTCTTCACCCTACCAGGACTCGAATTCCGACCCTTCGGCCGTCCAGCCCGTAGCCAGTCGCTAGGTTTCCCTGAATAGTCGTTACGTTTAAGGTACAAACTTCTGAACAGAACCGTGTATATGCAGTCTTGTTGCAGCCGGAACGTCACAAGAGATGACGGGTTCAAGTGTACCTAATTTTACACAATGAAAGGCGAATATGAATGCATGCAAATGACGACAATATCTCTATATGGAACTGTTGTCATGCAAACTGACCTTGTGGATCCTCAGGGGGCGATGAGGTCGTCTCCTGACACGCAGGTCGCCCTCTGGAAAGAAACAAACTGTTAAGAAGATAATAATAATGGTATTCAGATGTGTAAGTACTTACAAGCCACTGCCTGTGCTCGTAACAAACAGGTACGTCAGAAGAACGTGCCCTCGGAACCCACTTGAGCAGGTCTGGATGCTTGGGAGAACAGACACTCTCTTGCACCTACTGTGAATTTAACCCCGTTTCCTCGAGCTCATAAAGTTAACATAAATTTGTCCCTGTGCTTAACTAATTAAGCCAAGAAGACGTATGGAGAAGTGGATATATAGATCCACGTATTCTTGACCTCGGCACTAGTTGGGAGTGGTCAGCTTCACGCCCCGGCCGCTTTACCCTGGCGTAAAAAGCCCCCGGTGCCCACTGGATAGGACGCTGGATGATCCTGAAAGCCGGAGAGAAATCTTGCCCCTACCAGGACTCGAACTCCGACTCCTTAGCCACCCAGCCTGTATCCAGTCACTATACAACTGTACCAAGCTCTTGAAAGCTATCCCTGTAACAGGCCATGGAGGCTCATAGGGTTGTGAGACGTCGAGGTTCCCTCATTTCTCTAGACAATCGGCTCACAGATGGCGGTGAGGTTGTCAGCCTTACGCGTCGGCCGCTCTTTACTCCCCACGAATATTCCTGGTATTCATTTCTGTTAGAGGCTGAGTCGGCTTTAGGGTCATAGTGCGGCTAGAAGAATCAGGTAAATTGAAAAAAATATCAACCTCATCGGAACTTGAACCCGCGACCTTCAGTTTGTAGCATAGTGTCTCAATCAACTACGCTACCGCGTGCCCCTGCACCAAGCTCTTAACAAATGAAAAATTACTTAGTTTCCTTGATTTGTGACAGATTATTAGCCTACTTCTTCCTGCACTTCACATTAATTTTCTTGATATTCTGCAGAATACAACCGTTTGGTGTATCCTGCCATTGCTTCTTTGAATCACTGGAAAGAAAAGAAGCTTTCCTATAGTCGGTTACTGAACATCTGACATCTTGGAAAGTCAATGGAAAGAGATGAATGGCGTGTGAAACGAACATACAGCACAAAGGTCGCGAGGCCAGGCATACATATCCCACATCATTGATAAACAGAGAGTAAACACAACACATACGTCATCTATAAATCACTTAATGAGTGTAGCAGTGCAGAAGTTTCTCAGGAATCGCAGGAAACTGGTATAGGTGCTGTTAGATACAGGGTAGAGACCTGTGGGGCTCCTGGCCGCGTCAAAGTTGAGACATCCATCCTGATGATGGAGGCTGAAAAGGTCTCCGAAGCGTTAGTGTCTAGCTCGTCCTTAATGCGGCTGATCGTCTCCGAGATCACTTCGGTGCCTTCATTGGCCGCGAAAACTTCATATCTTACGTAGATATGGAAACCAGTCATCTCGAGGTACAAATTGCGCAGAAGTTTCAAAATTGGAGACTTCTACGAGAAACGTAGAGAATACAATGATGAAAATACTGTACTTCCAAAATAAATTATGCAGATCATAATGAGATTTATATTTTGTCATCCACTTTTTTTTTTCGGGGGCACGCGGTAGCGTACTTGGTTGAGGCACTATGCTTGTACAAGCCGGCATGCGGCGGGATCGAATCCCGATGAGGTCACTGGAATTTTTCAATTGACCTAATCCTTCCAGCTGCACTATGGCCCTGGGATCGACTCAACCTCTAACAGAAATGAGTACCAGGAATTTTCCTGGAGGGTTAAGGGCGGCTGGCGCGTAAGGCTGACAATCCCACCGCCATCTGCGAGCCGGTTGTCCAGAAAATGTGGGACTTTCGACGTCTCGCAACCCTATGGGCGTCCACGGCCTGTTACGGGGATAGCTTTACATATTTTACCTTTACTATTTCACGCTAGAAGTCGCCGGGCGAATATAATTTCGATTTGTATCGATCCAGTATGGTGGATGATTGTGATGATGAAGAGAAAGGGATGACGAAGGAGTATTATTTAGGCATATATCACTTATATAAAGACTGTGTCAATATCTCAGCCCGCATAGCATCATATGATAGGATAATTTACTGAACAATAAATCGGAAAGGACACGTAAAGAAGCGGCCGTGGCCTAATCTGAAGTTGTATTCTGGCATTTGCTTGGCTGGAGGAAGGCCACGAAAACTCTCAGTAAGCATAGCCCGTCTCCGGGCCGAGATCGAAGCGGGACTGCTTGCCCACTCTACCATGACGGTCGGTCCAGAGGCTCCACCAACGGCCACGACCCTGAACTACTTCAATTGGCCCACACCCTTCCTTCCTCCCCTGTAATATGACCTTAGGCATTTATGTTCCTTGGTTTCATCAGCTGTATACACATTTTTGTAGACGAAGTAAAGTTTGTAATATTCTGTTCATATCCGATGAAGATACGGCAAGGCTCACTCCCAATGCCGTTATGAGGACTGGAGGGACGCGCTCTGGAGCGTCCGGAGTGTTGGTAGTGTTGTCTGTTGTTCTTCCCGTAACCCTGCTCTTGAAAGATCCCCTCAATAAACACTAGTGGTGGAAAATCAAGGGGTTCGGGGGGCGGATGATGTAATCTCTTATGAATTATGCACTCGCCAGAAATCGATAAATCAGTCGTGAGGTGTAACCACATCAGTGGAGCTGCGGCGGGAAGGTAAGCTCACAGTGGCTTCTGGATAATTCGAGATTTTCGCAGCAATGGTTATGAAGAGTACTATCTGCTGGGATATAATGCCGCGTAGTCCATTAAAGTCAACCGACGTTTCGAAGAAACATATCTCCTCTATCTTCAGCGCCGAATAAGCCAAACAAGATATCAGAGTGAAAGCAAGTGGCAAGCAGAGTAACCACCTACTTTCACCCTGAAGATGGAGATATGTTCCTTCGCAACGTCGGTTCACTTTCAGCGGTCTACATGGCGTTATATCCAAGAACTTTACAGATTTCCAGTCCAATACTGTAGCGGGAAGCGTTACAGCCAGACATCGAAAAACACGATCGCCTGGTGGCCAGTAGAGACTGACAGAACCCCGTGGCAAATAATTTCCAGTTTGATGTTCCGGAGCTGGTTTTACGTGTTCTGGCAATCCCACTCATTTATTTGTGACATATAACAAATTTTGAACCACGTTCAAAAGAGATAAAGATCAATATAATCAGTAAGCCATCATTTCTGTTTCAAATTCGAATTTTTTCCCCTCATTATGTTACGCCTGACCTGCTTGTGTTTACGACACCAATACAAAAAGAAACTAACCTGGGCGTCGATCAAAGACGAGAGCCGTAGCAGGGTGCCGGAAAATACTGATTCACCTTTTCTTGGAGACCATAATATTGATTGAGGCTAGCTCTTTCTAACGGACCCAACAGAATAGGTGTTTTCCTTCACCTGAGGACGGAAACAGATCCAGTTTCCGAAACGTCGTGTTTTTATTAGTTATCTTAAAAACTAGGACGATGGATAAAGTCCGAAAACCCAATATATCACCATAATATTTGTTTGGCTAACAGGCATTAAAAGAAATGTTCTGTCCCTGGTTACATCTTCCTGGCATGGTGCTTTTGCACACGACCCGGCAGCTTGGTGCGGCAGTAACCCTGTAGGCCTACATTCAGGAGACGGCGCAGGCGCAGTCGCAGTCGTGTTACCGGCTCTTACCACTGACATTTTCGTGGCTTTATTAAGTCTCTCCATAACAACATTCATTATCAGTTTTCCATCTCATCCCACGCTATTAACCACTGCATTTGAAGCAGAATCGTTAAATAGCTTAAGCTACGAATATCAGCTACTGTACGGTGCGTTAAGCCTACCACGCAGGAACCGGCTGCGTGTTGTCCTTGAACTTGGCTCGCCAGGGAAAGTGGCGCTTCAGTTATTGATTGTGGGCACGAAACGGGAGGAACTGCCGTGAGAACTCGCCATTGACGAGCTACCAGCGAGCCTTCTGTGCGATACGCACCTGCTGTTTGTACAGTCGAGCGCGACGAAAGCGAAAGTATATCCTTGTAACGGGACCCCGAACTCGGCGTCCGTATTTATGTATCAACTTACTCATTTACAGAGGAATTTTCCAGTCAAGCAGGTGATGCTCTGGCTTCGTATTATGGAGATTGAGAGTTCAAATCTCGGCTTCAAGACCGGCTGTCCTTAAGTTTATCCTTGACTCCCTTCACACAAATGATGGGACAGTGTCAGGAATAAGGCCAGGAAAGCGACGCTCTCTCTCAGTATCGAGACTGTATGGTAGGCCGCACACCGGCATGCGTCAAGACACGTCTGCGTCATGACGAAAAGAAAGAAGCACA